CATGCGATTCACATGTGAATCACATGCGATTCACATGTGAATCACATGCGATTCACATGTGAATCACATGCGATTCACATGTGAATCACATTTACATATGTCATATGTAAATGTGATTCATATGGGAATCGCATGTGATTCATATGTTAATCACATATGTATTTTGTGAGTGTTTTTGCATCAATCATTTTTTTTTAATTTTCTTGTAGATTTGAAAGAAATTTTGGTGAATATTGAAGAAGTGACAAATGATAAATTGAAGAAATAATGAAATATTGACACGAAGACATGAAAACGCTTTGAAATTTGTAGCATTTTTTAATTTTATATTTTATTTTGTATCGAATAAAATATTTGTACTATTATGTTTATAGATTAATTAATAAAAATGAGATTTTTCTTGTGATTTACTTACGAATATTATAGTATAAGACATATACATATATGCATTTGAAAAAAATATGCATATATGCACCTAAAAATTTGCTTTTTAAAAAAAATGCAATTTTTTTTTGAAAAAATTGCAGTTTTTTTTAATGCAGATTTTTTTGAAAAAAATGTAATTTTCTTTAAAAAAACTTGCAGTTTTTTTTGAAAAAATTGCAGTTTTTTTAATTTTAAAAATGCATTTTTTTTTAAATGTATTTTTTTTTTTGAAAAAAATGCAGTTTTCTTTAAAAAAAATTGCAGTTTTTTTTTGAAAAAAAAAAGCCGTTTTTTTAAAATTGTAGTTTTTTTTAAAAAAAAAAAATATTTTTTTCAATTTTTTTTTCAAAAATTCATGTTTTCTATACAAAATTAAAAAATCTGCATTTTCTTTTAAAAAAACGAAAAATACTATATTTAAAAAATCTGAAAATTTGATTTATGATGTAAATTTTTAAACATTTATATTAATATATTAAATAACACAAAATAATTAAATATTAAATGAGATTGGTAAGATGACGATAATGTCCTTAATGAATTATTTTTGATCCAACGCTCCACTTTTAGTTCTCGGGTTCTCGGAAAACTATGAGTTCCCAACCGATCTCACCCCTATATATATATATATATATATATATATATATATATATATATATATATATATATA